TTATTAATACTACTCAATAGCTCAGTCGATAGAGCTTCTGCCTCATACACGTTGGGTTCATGGTTCGAGTCTCCTAAAGCTTAGATGAATGGAAGGTCTCACACCTTATGACAAGATATCCATGTCTTAGAGCCGGTAACCTACCCACTTAGGTTCTCAAAACGTCGGTTCCTCTTGAAGGAACCAATTAAAATAAGCTTCCTGTGGAAAATTCAGTGTTCTGATTGGTCCCTCCATAACCATATGATGGTCCAAAGCCGGACCTATCCACCCACTCTAGTCTATGTGGCTACGTATAGGCTGGAGACATACATGTAGTCAGCTCATTTAATAACAACGCAGAGATTATACAAGTTATTTTGTATGTCGTGCACATGGCTGCTCACTCACGGGGTCAAGTGTGTGAGTACTGTTCACTAGAGTAACTGAACTGATAACACCGTGAAAAGAACACGAGAACAACAACAACACAAAGAACAGAACGTAGGAACATAGAGTACGATGACTAGAGGAATCAAAGTTTGGAAAATTTATTCAATAGAAACATTGGAAAAATATTTTAAACCAAAAAAAAATTGTAATGCATTATATTCTTTTATTGAAACCACATAATATACCTAACTTTAAGGAACGGATGACCTTATATATTATTTATTCTACATCTAATATATCCACAAATATATAATCCAATATATATAGGCCAATATAAGTATAGGCCAATAGGCCCTTTGCAGTTACTTCCATTCTTCCCTTTCACTTATCCAATTTATACCCCTTGAACCGTGTTCTGTCTTGTGTTGGTCAAAAGTTTGTTCTCCTCATCCAGAACTGTTGCAACATATCACCTCACCCAAATGCGAGTATATAAGACAAGCTGTTTAGCGTTAGAATTAGTAAACCTCTGTTAAGTGTTTTCAGGTTACAGGTGTGTGTAAACTAAAGTCTTTGAAAATATAATAAGTTATTACGAAACGCGTTCAAGCGTCGCGTCAAACTTGAAATGAAAAGGAATTTTGGAGAATTGATTTTTCAATTACCATCGACAGTAAAAAGAAACATAAGAAATATTGAGGAAATTCGTGTTAGAATTATTAATCTTACTTTTTCGGTCATATTTAACAAAATATATAATCATATATAATGTTATATTATACATCTTTTCACCTCCCTCTCTTTCCTCTTCCCTCTCTACACTCCCTCCCTCTCCATCCCTCCTGCAGCTCTGGTAACTCTGCTTTTCATCAAATTCGAGTTCTTTACACAGAGTAGCGTTTTGTATATAGGGTCAATGGCACACCTCAGAGATGGTATTACGGGCTCACCATAGCCCGTGCTACTTGGAACGTGTTCCGAGTAGCTGAATCTATAACAATCACAACAGAGATGCTCAGAAACACCAGAGGAAACGTTGGTGTTTCTTCCCTGGAGGTTCAGGATGATATTTAAGGCTACATAAATATCTTGGGTCGCATCGCTGTAGATGCTGACAGCAAGGGAAACTGTTTACACCTAAGGGATTCGGAAAGGGAAACCAGCATTTACACCTAACCCACGCTACACTTAGCATGGCTACATGTTAGTTCTACCGACCTCAGCGTCTATGACGTTAGCCGCTATTTAAATACCTGCTTGATGGGGTTCTGGGGGATGTTCTACTCCCCCAAGCCCGGCCCGAGGCCAGGCTTGATTTGTGAGAGTTTGGTCCACCAGGCTGTTGCTTGGAGCGGCCAAGCAACGGTCGGTTTGCTCGACCCAATAAAACAACTATAGGTTAGTACACACAGCACACATTTTTTTAATAAAGTGTAAATAAAGTTTATTTTTTATTTTTTAAGGTCTTTTTTCTTGTATTGTTTTCTTTTTTCTTTTTTTGCGTTCCGTTCACTCCTGTTTAGCGTCGTTGTCGTTGGAATCTATGTCTGTGGCCCTCTGGTGGAGGACGAGGGCGACCACATGGTGAGGGCCTCCAGCCACACTGGTCGAGGGTGAGGTAGCCTGGTAGTCTACGGTCGCCCTCGACCAGCTCCTCCTACCACCACCTGACGACCGTCTGCACCTGAATCATCCTCTTCATCTCTTCCATGGTGTCCTTCGACCGGGCGACGTGAACAGCCAACGTGTCACCCATAAGGGTCTTGACCTTTAGTCTGTCACTGTTGGGAAACCTCATTTATACCTAAGGCATGATTATATCTATTGCCGGGTATAGAGACATGATCTTGATATCCCAGATACACAACAGTTTAGTTGAGGGGGGAGGATGCAAGATAAGGTCATTATCGGGAGGAAGGGCTAGGACATTATGACTACACAACTAGGCAGTGAACAAGAGCTATTACTAATGGCACTCACTAACCATTATATTTCAAGTGTGTGTGTGTGTGTGTGTGTGTGTGTGTGTGTGTGTGTGTGTGTGTGTGTGTGTGTGTGTGTGTGTGTGTGTGTGTGTGTGTGTGTGTGTGTGTGTATGTGTTTGTGTGTGTGTGTGTGTGTGTGTGTGTGTGTGTGTGTGTGTGTGTGTGTGTGTGTGTGTGTGTGTGTGTGTGTGTGTGTGTGTGTGTGTGTGTGTGTGTGTGTGTGTGTGTGTGTGTGTGTGTGTGTGTGTGTGTGTGTGTGTGTGCAGTGATGGTTGTGTGTAGCAGTTAAATTTTGTAGGTCTAGTATACCACATGTGTATAGTAAAGTCGGCCTAAGATGGTGCATATTAGATCTAGAATATTTTACTTAGGCCTAGGTTAGGTTACCTTGTATAACGTTCAAGTTCAAGTATGTTTATTGAGATAAGAAAGAAATACATCTCAAAGGGATAGAGTAGCTTAGGCTATTTCTACCCCCCCCCCCCTTGTATAACGTTCTGTTTTGTTTACCATGTCATTTGGAGTAGTCTAATAGCACAAAATTTTGACTTTTTGTTGAAGAGCCTTTTTTTTTAACGCTTTACCATCAGTTCTAAGTACTATCCTTTTGGAGGCTAGATTTTGGAGGGCTCGTTGTGCTTTCATGCTTTTCAATTTCTGCAGTTGTGTCGAGTTGCAATTATTTTGAGATTTTCATCGTTTTAAATTATCTGATAATTTTATCAGTACCAATTTCAATCAATTTGAGTTTGTTATCAGGCAATGTCTGTAAAATTTTCGCATTCTCCATTACCTTTTCTGCCCCTTCCATTATTCGCTTTCTCTACCTCGTTAACACCTGCTGTGCTTTGTTCCATTACCTCTGTCCCTTGAGGTAGAGTTGACGGACTTGCCTCCTGCAAGGTCGGCGTTCAATTACCGATGGGTTAATGGCAAAGCACCGTTCCTTAACTTAATCACCGTAACTCAGTTCCTTTCTCCCTCTTATCCCTTCCAAGTGCTGTATAAGTAAGCTGGCCTAGAGCTTTATATATTCATAATTACTCAAACTTTCAATCCCTTTATACAATTTCTTCATGTTTTTAGTTTTCCTTTCACTACTTTTCTACTCTCAGATACCCTCGTGCCCTTAAAATTACATCCAATTCGAATGGCCGGTATAAAAAGGGCCTGGCTTTATGCTGGGTCAGGGTTCGATACCCAATGATCCGTTGTTTTAAGCACCATTCCACTACACACATGATGATAACCCTAAGTGTTATATAGTCACAATGGCTTCACGTTGTCTACTAATAAATGCCTTGACCAGACCACACACTAGAAGGTGAAGGGACGACGACGTTTCGGTCCGTCCAAGACAAACTACTTGAGAATGGTCCAGGACGGACCGAAACGTCGTCGTCCCTTCACCTTCTAGTGTGTGGTCTGGTCAACATACTTCAGCCACGTTATTATGACATCTGAATAATAAATGCCTTATTACCTTGCCCAAAAACTCCTGTTAATTAGGGGCATTTGCCTTTTTAATTAGGTAAATGCCTTACCTTACCATTAACTCTAGTGGGCAAGTGTTTATGGTAATCTTCTGAGAGGGAATTAGAGGCAGGCAAGGCAGGTAATGAGCCAAGCTAATCTGAAATTAATCCATTCAGGATTTCTTGAGTGGAGTTCAACGAGCCTTACTTGAGAGGGTTTGATTAGAATTTGTAGAATTTTCTTTTGATTGTGGTGCTAATGTGGTAAAATATGCTTAAATGATTTGTAGGACTTTTTTTGCAGGACTATACTTGAATAGTGTACGACTATTGGAAAATATTGAAATTTATTTGATTTAAATACATTTTTGTATCATAGTCTACTGGAGGTATAGTGATGAAATATTTGGTTTTGATAGACAACATAAATAGGTTTGTGTGTAAATATTGCAGTGTTTTGTTTGATCGAAGAATTGGCAGTGATTATCTCAAGCATTATGTACAGATTCATGGGAAAAATCTAACAAAACATCAAGGGCTTTGGTTTTGTGTTGAGCTCTTTGGCAATACATAGAGCTCAACAGCGCTCTGTTGCGCTCCAACTGGTGTTATATATCTTGAGAGGGATGGATAGAAATTAAAGTCTACTGGTAATATCTACTAACTTGCCTCCTTATACAGCACATTGCCAGCCCAAGTTCACATATTATGGGAGCAAAAGTCAACATTAATATCTCTTGTTTGCCAGTAAGACCCAGAAGTTTAGAATAGCTATATACATTGCTTATCACAGCACGACCTGAGAGAGGTCATGGCTCCCTTCTCTCATTGCTGCCTCCTCCTCCTTCACATTCTTCACCCAACCTCTTGGGCTGGACGGTAGAACGACGGTCTCGCTTCATGCTGGTCGGCGTTCAATCCCCGCACCATTCCCTTTTCCCCGTCCCATCCCAAATCCTTATCCTGACCCCTTCCAAGTGCTATATATTCGGAATGGCTTAGCGTTCTCTCCTGATAGTTCCGTTCTTCTCTATTCCATTTTTCCTCCCTCTAAAACAAATTATGTTATGAGGAGGGAAACTATGCAAAAAGATTAGATTCCTTGGATGGAAATTTTATATAAAATAGAAAAAAAGGCAAGATATGTATCTAGATGAGGAAGTCCTGATTATCCTTTGGTTGGTACTTCGATGTCTGATGAAGAATCTTTGGTTGATACTTCGATGTCTGACGAAGAATCTTTGGTTGATACTTCGATGTCTGACGAAGAATCTTTGGTTGGTACTTCGATGTCTGATAAAGAATCTTTGGTTGGTACTTCGATGTCTGACGAAGAATCTTTGGTTGATACTTCGATGTCTGATAAAGAATCTTTGGTTGGTACTTCGATGTCTGATGAAGAATGTTTGGTTGGTACTTCGATGTCTGACGAAGAATATTTGGTTGGTACTTCGATGTCAGACGAAGAATCTTTGGTTGGTACTTCGATGTCTGACGAAGAATCTTTGGTTGATACCTCGATGTCTGACGAATAATATTTGGTTGATACTTCGATGTCTGACGAAGAATCTTTGGTTGGTACTTCGATGTCTGACGAAGATTGTTTGGCTGGTACTTCGATGTCTGACGAAGAATGTTTGGTTGGTACTTCGATATCTGACGAATAATCTTTGCTCCTACGCATGTACTGAATCAGATTTTCATGCTCACATTCAGAAACGTTATTCATAATTTTTTGTTTATTTATAGCAGAACGAACGTCAAAACGACAATACATTAAGTTTTCTTGCTGTTATTAATCAGAAGTTCCTTGTTGACCAAAGCTTTCTTGTCCGTATTGATAAGAAGTTTCATAAAGTAATTCATTATAAACAGTTCAGTTTGTCTTAAATCACTGTGATTGTTACACATATTTAATGCATGAAAAATTTGCGATGAAACTCTTCAATGTTAACACTTTGTCTTTTGGCAAAACTATCTTGATTTATTGATTTCTTAATAGGGTCACACCATTTAAGGGTGGCACACCATATGTTGCGACACCTGCACAATAGTCATGGATGGTGCAATATCAATTTAGACACTTGCATACTGATTCAATTCAAGACTAAATTATCTTTGTAAGAAATTGTCTAACTATTAAAATTCAATCTTTCCTGGTGTTTTGTCCGGTGAACGAGATGAACGACCTTTCTAGTAACTAAGATATAACCAAGAAACGTGGTCGTTTCTTCATCGTCTGATGAGTGGTTTGATCATCATATAATCAACCACGCTATTGTGACTCGTCGTCTGCCAGATCTAACCAAATACGGCTGGTCGTACCACATTCAAAGTCTTTAGGTACCACTAGTGGTACTGGCACCGTACTTCGACTACCAATGCCCGTCTTAATCCATATCTCATCCTTTGGCGAAAGCGACGACTTCGCAAGCCACACTCGAAGGCTCTCTGGGGTCATCGAAGTACACGACCTCCTGCCTCGTCCATAGCGTTAAAAGGAAGGATAAACATATTAAGGAGCACTTTTTATGCTTTGAAACGACCCAAGATGACTTGAGACTAATGGCGGTGTCGTATTAACGAGGAAGAATAGATCAGAAGAATATATATATATATATATATATATATATATATATATATATATATATATATATATATATATATATATATATATATATATATATATATATAATATGGGTGTGTGTGGGTGTGTAGACAAAGAGCCATTGGGATGGGAGAATGATAGAGCTTTTGTTAAAAAAGAAAATCTAGAACAGGAGGAAGACTTGAAAAACTGAACAGAATAGCTAGATAAGGGAAAGGAAGGGTTAGGAGAGACAGAGAGAGAGAGAGAGAGAGAGAGAGAGAGAGAGAGAGAGAGAGAGAGAGAGAGAGAGAGAGAGAGAGAGAGAGAGAGAGAGAGAGAGAGAGAAGTAGGACGAACCAGAGAGAGAGGGGGGAAGAAATAGGACGCTACTAATAACCTCACCTGTTGAATTTCTGTATTTATGAGCCATTAAGAATAGTTAAGCTGCTGGGAAGAGGGGTTCCCCAGGAATTAACGGGCGTCATTTGCATTTTTCCCCCCTGCCTAGCAACTCCAAATGAACTTTGAGAAAGGAAGAGAGAGCGTGCTGGGGCTGGCGGAAGATGTCTCTAACTTACGACCAGGTGTGAGGCGGGAGCCAGGTCGTTTAGGCTGTGTGTGTGTACTGGAGGCTAGCTAAGTTATGAGGCATCTTGAAGATGATCGGTGTTGGGGAGAAGATGAGTAGTGGAGATGAATGACTCGAGCGGGGGTGAGGAATTATCCGGGACGAGGGTGAAGGAGTATGAGGGGGTGGGATATGAGGATTATGAGTGAGGATAAGAGGGTTATGGGTTGTTTCAGCTCTGGGTAATGTGATTGGGGGGAGAGGAGGAGATGGGCTCCGTGCGCCCTGGGTTCCGTGTGCCCTGGGTTCCGTGCGCCCTGGGTTCCATGCGCCCTGGGTTCCATGCGCCCCGGGTTCCATGCGCCCTGGGTTCCATGCGACCTGGGTTCCATGCGCCCTGGGTTCCATGCGCCCTGGGTTCCAATCCCCAGGGGGCAGCCGTAGATCGCAGCAGCCATTCCCTATCTGTCTTGAAGGGAGGAAATAATCAGGGTGAAAGCGCGAAGCCATTACGACTATATAGCACTTGAAAGGGGAGTTAACTATATATATATATATATATATATATATATATATATATATATATATATATATATATATATATATATATATATATATATATATATATATATATATCATTAAATATTCATGAAATATACAACAGGTGTTTACTAGACATAAAATATATAGAAAAATAACTAAATAAACCCCTCCTAATACAGAACATACGTAGAGATACGCAGATAGCGACGTTAATCTTGGGGAAACGAGCCTACGAAGTCGATGAAATTGGCCGATGATCTCAAGGAATGAGTTTGGAAACTGCTTCAGGAAGGTAGAGGTTGAGGCTGAAGTAACGGGGAGGTGTGAGGTATGAGGGTGCCTCCTGCTTCTCCTCACAGGGTCAACACCGCGCTCTGATGGGAAGGTTATTAGAAAATGAGGTTGTGGCCACTTGCGCAGTTTTATGAGGGGAATGTCGCGCTTGTGTACATGTATAGACTTTATGGTGATGGGGGCGGGGGAAGAGAGCATTAGAGCTAGGTGTGTGTGTGTGTGTGTGTGTGTGTGTGTGTGTGTGTGTGTGTGTGTGTGTGTGTGTGTGTGTGTGTGTGTGTGTGTACTCACCTATATGTACTCACCTATATGTGCTTGCAGGATCGAGCATTGACTCTTGGATCCCGCCTTTCGAGCATCGGTTGTTTACAGCAATGACTCCTGTCCCATTTCCCTATCATACCTGGTTTTAAAATTATGAATAGTATTTGCTTCCACAACCTGTTCCTGAAGTGCATTCCATTTCCCCACTACTCTCACGCTAAAAGAAAACTTCCTTACATCTCTGTGACTCATCTGAGTTTCAAGCTTCCATCCATGTCCTCTCGTTCTGTTACTATTCCGTGTGAACATTTCGTCTATGTCCACTCTGTCAATTCCTCTGAGTATCTTATACGTTCCTATCATGTCCCCCCTCTCCCTTCTTCTTTCTAGTGTCGTAAGGCACAGTTCCCTCAGGCGCTCTTCATACCCCATCCCTCGTAGCTCTGGGACGAGTCTCGTTGCAAACCTCTGAACCTTTTCCAGTTTCATTATATGCTTCTTCAGATGGGGACTCCATGATGAGGCGGCATACTCTAAGACTGGCATACTCTAAGACTGTGTGTGTGTGTGTGTGTGTGTACTCATCTATTTGTGTCTGCAGGATCGAGCATTGACTCTTGTATCCCGCCTTTCGAGCATCGGATGTTTACAGCAATGACTCCGGTCCTATTTTCCCCTATCATACCTAGTTTTAAAATTATGAATAGTATTTGCTTCCACAACCTGTTCCTTAAGTGCATTGTGTGTGTGGTGTGTGTGTGTGTGTGTGTGTGTGTGTGTGTGTGTGTGTGTGTGTGTGTGTGTGTGTGTGTGTGTGTGGGTGTGTGTGTGTGTATGTGTGTGTGTGTGTGTGGGTGTGTGTGTGTGTATGTGGGAGGGTGTGAATAAGATGGAAGGATTAGGATATTTACAGGTGTTGAATGGGATTGAATGGACGGCGATCTGAATGCATTAGGGGTGATTAAATTGGCTTGTAAACCCTAATATAAGAAGTAGCAAACTAAAGAGCCCTTATCGTGATAAATGTTTATACTCAAACTCATTCACATAAATGTCTAACATTCGCTGGAAATAATCCCAACGTCTAAATGGCCTTACCTGGTAATTTATTCTATAACTCAACAACTCTTTATTTCCAAACCAATATTAACTCTGATACTTGTTGAATGTAAATGATTCATGTCAGTATTTTGTGTAGATATATTAACCACTTACGAGAAAATCCCTGCAGAAAGTTTAGTCTAAGTTCATCCTGGGAAGTTAGAAATTCTTAGGATAAACGTTGTCATCTTTTTTTATGAGAATTGAACTCCATTCTATACTTCGGCGACTAAAAACTGAACTTTATAATCAAATGGGAGTCGAACGGAAGCAAGATCAAAATGGGGGATGGGGTCGGAGCTTGTGAAGTAATGGTAATGGGTTTGATAATAATGGTTATTGACCCCTCACAAGAGACATACTGTATATTGAGAGGTCAATCTTGATGAGGTCGAAGAAGACGATGGGTAATAGACATGAGAAAGGGGAGGTGGGGTAGTGATGATGGTGCTTCGGTCTATCGTAAATTGGTGAAGAATGAGAGTTGGTGATGCTGCTGAGCATCATCAGAGAGGAGGATGGTGACTGATGGTGATTCTGCCGGCGGTGGTATGGTGAACTGGTGGAAGGTTATGTTCATTGTGATGCTGTATGGTGATGGAGGTTACTTTATGGTGAGGGGTGTGGTGAGGGCTGTATAGTGAGGGGTGTGGTAAGGGCTGTATAGTGAGGGCTGTATAGTGAGGGCTGCATAGTGAGGGCTGTATGGTGAGGGTTGTATAGTGAGGGCTGTATAGTGAGGGCTGTATAGTGAGGGCTCTATAGTGAGGGCTGTATAGTGAGGGCTGTATGGTGAGGGCTGTATAGTGAGGGGTGTAGTGAGGGCTGTATGGTGAAGGTTGTATAGTGAGGGCTGTATAGTGAGGGCTGTATAGTGAGGGCTGTATAGTGAGGGCTGTATGGTGAGGGCTGTATAGTGAGGGCTGTATAGTGAGGGCTGTATGGTGAGGGCTGTATGGTGAGGGCTGTATAGTGAGGGGTGTGGTGAGGGCTGTATGGTGAGGGCTGTATAGTGAGGGCTGTGATAAAGGCAGTGTTGATAGTAGTAATTAATGCCGTCCTAAGAGCTATATAAATGTGATGAAAGTTGTGATAGCAGTTAAGATAGCAGGTATGATGTAGACGATGATAACAAGTGTCTTAACCCATCTACTTAACAACCTGCACAACATGCGAGTAGATCCCTCTAAGATAACGGAACTACTGGATAAGTTATCGTCTCCTGTGATCTTACGTCTCCAACAATCACCTGGATGTAGGCACTGTGGAACGACTATATATATATATATATATATATATATATATATATATATATATATATATATATATATATATATATATATATAATAACACCGGAAGATTGAACATA